GCGCTACGCTTGGGCGTCGACTGGGCCGCGGTCCGTGGTAGGTTCACAGACAGGGCCAAGGGCAAGGGCGCCCTGGGCAAAGCCAGAGGCAAGGGGCACCGGGAGGGCAGCGACCCCAGCTGGACAAGGTGGGGGGCCCCCTGGCGAGCCGCGAGCTCGCGCCAGCCCCGGGTATACTCCTAATGCCCTCTCACGGGCCCCCGCCCCCCCGCCTTCGCTGTTTGGCATCCCGTGCGACGCGCCAGGGCCGAGTGCCTTTCCGCGCTCGGCAACGGTGCTTCCCATGTCGATGCGAACGACCTTCCTCTCACTGGGGCCTGCCTCGGGCGGGGCCCCTTTGGCGCGCCACTACGGCCGCGCGCCTAATGCCGCCTCGGGCGCGCCCAGACGGGGCTGTCGGCTCGTCCCTTGCCATCAGGAGACCCAAGTCCTGGATCTCACTTTGCGGCCTCTCGCCCCCTGGGTGACCGCCGCCCCCCGCTGGCCCGCCCTAGGCGCAGCGTCGGGGCCTGGTCCCAACCTCGGCGGACCACCTGTACTGCTAGGTCCCTCGCGACACCACTTGCGGCCCAGTGCTGCCCTGCACTTCGACGTCGTTGGCTGCGCCCCCGACGCCTCCCAGCCTCTCCTCAGCGCCGCCAGGAGGCCGCTCGTTGCCTCTCACCCTACCTGCCCCCTTTTGGCTGTCACCCGCCAATGCGCGACTGTCAGTCGCCGCGTACCACCACCTCCCCCGCTCTCTCTGACCTGCCCACGCCCTGCGGCGGCCGCCGCCGCCCCGCGCCCGTCCCCCGCCCGCCTCCTGGTCCGCGCTCCCCACGGATGCTTTACATAGTCTGCGGGTGTTAGCTGCTGCCCCGCGCCCGCCACCCGCGCGCCCCCTTGCCCCCGCCCCCTGCGCCCTTCCGCGATGTGACTCCATTTTGTGCGACTGTTAGTCGCTTTCCCGGCCGTCCCTGGCCCTTCTCCCCCCCATGCGGCCTGCATCGCCGCTGTTGTCCGGCCGGGGGTGCCAGGGCCCGCCGCCGCGTGGCCGTGGCCTGCCGCCCCCCGCTGCTCCCCGCCTCCGCTGGCGCGCCCCCCCAGTCCGCGACGCCTTCCCTGGGGCGCCGGTGCCGGTGCCAGCGGCCCCGCCGGATTGGACTGGCCCCCCGCGCCGTCGCCTTCGCCCGACGTAGTGCCCGCGCCTCTACCTGGGGCTATCGCTCGTTCGGGGGCGCGCCGTTCGCTCTGCCGGGCTGCCTCGCCGACGCGCGCGTTGGCAGGTGGGCGCCTCTCTCGACGCTGGGCCCCGCGCCCCCGCTGCGCCTGACGCGCCCCTCCCTCGCGTGAGAGGTGGCTTGTGGCGCCGCGCTCTGCCGCCCGCGATGGGTCGCTGACCTGGCTGACGAGCCCCGCTGCGGTTCCGCCTTGCCGTCCATTCGCTTTTCCGTGGTCGCCGAGCACTTGCGCGCCGCCTGACCTGCTCGGCCCTTTTCCTGGATCTGGTCACGTTCTAATTCATCCGCCGTTTTGGTGTGCATCGAGGTCGTCCTGGCCTTCGTCGGCTTCAGCTTGGACCGCCATTTCGTCAGCGTCGGTGTCGCCTGCTGGGTGGAAGCGTAGACCGCTCCTGTTGCTTGGGGCCTAATTTAGCCCGCTGCTCGTTGGCTGCGCGTTGACTTGACGCCGTGCGATGTGTGGCGACGGTCGCGATCAAATTTTCCTTGCGAAGGACCCAACCACATGCAGTTGTGGGTGCCGCAATTGTGAAAATCTTCTTCGGTGAAACTCCCCATGGGGCCACGAAGCGCTGCGCTGAGAGGGGGGGAACGCTGTTCTGGGTGAGTTGTGTGTCAAGTAAGGTTTCAGGGGCGTACGCGGGCGGCCCCGCTGGGGGCTTCGGTGGAGCTCCCTATGAGGCCACGAAGCGCTGTACTGGGTAAGCGAAAATGCCAACTTGGGCTTCTGGAGCGCATGCGGACGGTCCCACTGGAGGCTTCGGTGGAACTCTCTATAGGGCCACGAAACGCTGTGCTGTTTGGGTGAAACTGCCAAAGTGGGCTTCCGGGGCGCATGCGGACGGTCCCACTTGGGGCTTCGGTGGAGCTCAAAAAGGAGCCACGAAATGTTGTATTGGGTGGGTAAAAATGCCACGTTGGGTTTTCGGGACGCATGCGGACGGTGGCACTGGGGCCTTCGGTGGAGTTCCCTACGGGGCCACGAAATTTTGCATTGGGTTGTCTGAAAATGTCACAATGGTTGTTTCGGGACGCTTGCGGACGGTCCCACTGGGGCCTTCGGGCGAGCTCCCTGTGGGGCCACGAAACGCTGCACTGGGTATGCGAAAATGCCACATTGGGTGTGCGGGACGCATGCGGACGGTGGCACTGGGACCTTCGCTGGAGCTCACTGTGAGGCCACGAAACATTGTAATGGGTAGGTGAAAATGCCAAATTGGGTGTTTCAGGACGGATTCGAACGGTCCCACTGGGGGCTTCGGTGGAACTCTCTGTGTGGCCATGAAACGCTGTGCTGTGCTGTGTGTGTGTGTGTGTGTGTGTGTGTGTGTGTGTGTGTGTGTGTGTGTGTGTATGTGTGCGTGTGTGTGTGTGTGTGTGTGTGTGTGTGTGTGTGTGTGTGTGTGTGTGTGTGTGTGTGTGTGTGTGTGTGTGTGTGTGTGTGTGTGTGTGTGTGTGTGTGTGTGTGTGTGTGTGTGTGTGTGTGGGGGGGCGCATGTGGGCGATGGCGCTGTGACCTTCGGTGGGGCTCCCTATGGGGCCACGAAACGCCGCTGTGCTGAGTGGGGGGGCGCATGTGGACAGTGGCACTGGGGCTTTGGGTGGAGCTCCCTATGGGGCCATGAAGCGCTGTGCTGAGTGGTGGTGGTGGTGGTGGGGGGGCGCATGTGGACGGTGGCACTGGGGCCTTCGGTGGAGCTCCCTATGGGGCCACGAAGCGCTGTACTGAGTGTGGGGGGGGGGGCGAGCATGTGGACGGTGGCACTGGGGTCTTCGGTGGAGCTCCCTATGGGGCACGAAGCGCTTTGCTGAGTCGGGGGGGGGGCGCATGTGGGCGGTGGCATTGAGGCCTTCGGTGGAGCTCCCTATGGGGCCACGAAGCGCTGTTCTGAGTGCGGTGGGACGCATCTGGGCGGTGGCACTGGGGCAATCGGTAGAGCTCTCTATGGGGCCACGAGGCGCTGTCCCGGGCACGGGAGACGCAAGTGGACACCGTCACTGGGGCCTTCGGTGGAGCTCCCCATGGGGCCACGAAACGCTGTCCTGGGCGTGGGGGGCGCATGCGGGCACCCCCACTGGGGCCTTCGGTGGAGCTCCCTATGGGCCACGTTACGCTGTCCTGGGCGTGGGGGGCGCATGCGGGCACCCCCACTGGGGCCTTCGGTGGAGCTCCCAATGGGGCCACGAAGCGCTGTCCTGGGCGTGGGGGACGCATGCGGGCGTCCCCATTGGGCCCTTCGGTGGAGCTCCCCATGGGGCCACGAAGCGCTGTCCTGGGCGTGGGGGACGCATGCGGGCCCCCACTGGGGCCTTCGGTGGAGCTCCCTATGAGGCTACGAAGCGCTGTCCTGGGCGTGGGGGGTGCATGCGGGCACCCCCACTGGGGCCTTCGGTGGAAATCCTTATGGGGCCACGAAGCGCTGTGCTGGGCGTGGGGGGCGCATGCGGGCACGCCCATTGGGGCCTTCGGTGGAGCTCCCTATGGGGCCACGAAGCGCTGTCCGGGGCGTGGGGGGCGCATGTGGGCACCCCCTCTGGGGCCTTCGCCCCTATGGGGCCACGAAACGCTGTCCTGGGCGTGGGGGACGCATGCGGGCACCCCCACTGGGGCCTTCGGTGGAGCTCCCTTATGGGGCCACGATACGCTGTGGCGTGGGGGACGCATGCGGGCCCCCTCATTGGGACCTTCGGTGGAGCTCCCTAAGAGGCTACGAAACGTTTGAGGGGTGTACCGAGAGCAGAGGCAATGCTGGGGGAGGAGGGAGGAGGGGGAGGGAGAAGCGGGAGGAGGAAGGAACGCGGGGCGCTGTCTCGTCAAAACGAGGACCCGACACCACAGGATGGTTGGGAAAAGTATCCCCACCAGCCCATCCAGAAACGATGCCCATGAGAGCTGACGGGGGAGAGAGGAAAAAGGCATATAGTCAAACAACACGGGCAACAAGAGTGTACTTGGGTGCCTCGGGGATCGTCTTGAGGCCTGTTGGGGGCCTTTGAGGGGCCTAGTGGGGGCCTTTTGGAGGGCTCTTGGAACCGTCTAGGCGCATTTTTGGGCCCTTCTTGGGGCGCTCTCGGGAGCCTTGGGGGCGCTCTTGGGGCCATCTTGGAGGAGATCGATCAAAGAAGGGGGGGTCCCCAATTAAGGCACCCCTTCAGGAACACCGAAAATGGCTTCTTAATTGAGCCCCTCCTGGCGCGCTCTTGGAGCGCTCTTGGGCGCTCTTGGGGCCGTCTTGGGGCTCTCTTGGGCCCCGAAGGGGGAGGTCACAATTAGCGTTGCCCTTCGGGGGCCCCCCGCGTCGCCTCTTGGAGCGCTCATGGGGCGCTTTTGGAGCGCTCTTGGGCGCTCTTGGGGCCGTCGTGGGTCTCTCTTGGGCCCCTGTAGGGGCTATCTTGGGACATCTTGGAGCTAGGTTGAGGCTTCAGATGGGCATTGGAAGCGCAAAGGCGAGAACGCCAAACACATTGATTTTCTTTTGGGTTTTGAAGCATTTTGGCTTGTTGGGGACATCCTTGGGGAGCTCTTTTGGCCACTTGGAGCCGTTTTGTTGCGGTCTGTCCAGGTCTAGGGGAGGGGGTAAGGGGGAGGGGTAAACCCTTTCCCAAAGGGGAGGAACGAGGGGTGGAAGAGGAAACGCCCTAAACCACCGACGCCCAGAAGGCTGGTGGGATGTTTGGTTCCGGGCACCTAACAGAGTCTTCAAGACTGAGGACTGAGGCTCGGTGTATTTGGCAAATGAATTGAGGACGCGCCCACTCCGTGCCCAGAGGCACGGTGGCGGATTATTGAACACTTGGTTACGTTTTCAGACCTTTCTCCTCATACTGTGCATATGCGGCCCTTCGGTACGACTGGGGGCACGAATCTGGAGCAATGTACAATGTCGTTTCGAGAGCGCGAATCTGGTGCAAATTACGGGCTGGCGTAATTTACGACAGATATGGCCTCGAGCGGAGATCTGGTGTAACTCGCCAGGGGGCATGGCTTCGGGGGTGCGAATCTGGCGCATTTTACTAGGGATTATTGTTCAGGGAGCGCGAATCTGGAGTAGTTTGCGTGGTGTTTTGGCTTCGGGGGCACGAATCTGGCATTTCTTACGTGGGATTCCGGCCTCGGGAGCAGGACCCTGGTGTAATTTATATAGGGTTCTAGGCTCCGGGGCGCGAATTGGGCGCGTAGTGCAGAGAGGGCGTCTGGCTTCGGGAGCGCGAATCTGTCGTAGTTTACGCTGGGTTGTGGCTGTTGGAACGCAATTCTAGCATCCTTAAATCGGGACTCGAATCTGGGTCAAACTGCAAGGAGTTGAGTTTGGCGTCGGGGGGGCGAGTGCGGCGTACATTAGGACGGGATCTGGGTTCGGGGGCGCAGATCTAGCGTATTTCAATTGGGTTCTCGCCTTGGGAGCGCGAATCTTGTGTATGTATATATCACGAGGGATTCTGGCCTCGGGAGCGCGAACCTGGCGCAATCTTGTATTGGGCACACCAAGCGTACGTTACTGCAGATTCTGGCTTTGGGAACACGAAGCTGACGTTACTCGGGGGCATCGTTTTGGCTCAAGCTATTTTTGGTCACAACTGCATACACAGACACTCGATTGTCCCCAGCGGCAGGCCCTGCGGCGACGATGACCCACATGCCTTCCATCATGCGCGGACGCCACCGCGCATTCCTTATCCATAACGTGCTGAATTGTTATGTGTGCGGCCAAGTATTGTGGGAAGATCGCGCCCAGCAAGGTGACAACGTCAGTGCGCAGGACATGCAACTTTTCCAGGTTCTCCTTCTCTCGCGCCAGGAGGCCACCGATAGTTGCAGCGCGTTCCGATTCGCCAAGGCTGCCCCGTCTGCGTGCTATCCAAGGGATGGCGGAGCTTCTGACAGCCTCGCTGACACCGTCGCCGTGAGCGTCCGTGGCTTCGATAACGACCAGGTCCAGCGCGCAGTGTCCTACTTGGGAGATAACGCTTCGTTTGCGCACCTTGCGGCGGATCTGGCTTTCGATACGAACGCCGCGTACAGGCCGACGCACGCGGACGACGCGGACGCAGCAGACCAGGCCCGGTTCTGGAATGAGTTTGAGGATGTGGTGACGGCCCAACTTCTGAGGAGGAACGGGGCTCTCACTCAGGATATCATGTCCGTGCATCCGCTCTTCGCCGGGGACACAATGGAGCAGTCCGCCCAGCGCGTCCGTGCGGACTTCCCCACGCAGTTTCCTACGGAGCAGATTATGAGCTACTTGGGCAGCATGGCGCTCACAATGGACCCGGAAATCTTCGGCCAGGCCAGTTGCGCGAGCACGGTCGAGTTTGTGAACGGCCCAGTGGCTTTAGGGAGGATGATCGGCTGGGCGATCGCAGAGGTGTCGCCCGCCGCCTTCGCTTGCAAGTGGTACGTCGGCCGCGCGCGGCCCGAGGAGGTTGCGTACAACCTCAGCCAGGGGGGTTTGAGCCAGGCACCGGCCAACGTCAGGGCGATGGTGGACGGCATGGGCTTGACCGCGCGCGAGTCTTTCACCGCCTATTCAGAAGGGTGCCCCGTGCACCCAGCTTGGCCGGCTATGCATTCGGCGGCCTCCTCTCTGTCGACTTGGCTTGACGTCGTGGCCCTCCTGACCCCAGCGCAGCGCAATGAGGTGCGACTCCTGGATTACTCTGTTGCTTACTTCCGCACGTTCGCAGGCGTTCACTACGATTCTGACAACCGTGCCGGCCTGGCACTCGGCCAGAAGATCGTGAGGGAGAAGTTGCCGGACTACCTCTCGGAGAAGTACGGCTGCGACGCCGCCAGCAAGGCCGCGATCAGGTCGCGCGTGCAGACCAAGATCGCGTCGCTGGAGGTTCTGGATTGGGCAACTTGGACGCCTGATCATTGGATTCGCCCCTCCGCGTACTACTCCTCACTCCGACGCCGACAAGTGGATCGCGTGCTGCCCAAGAGCCAGAGCGGAGCATCCCTGTCTTCCACAGATACGACTGCGGCTATCATGAAGCCGTCTGTGGCGCTGTGGGCCGGAGGATCCCACGGCAGCCCGCGAGCCGCCCAACGGAAGGCGCTGGCGGGCAACGACGGGTGCACCGAGTATCGTTTTGGAAAAGCTGCTGAAGGCGCATGTTACCCGCGGAGCGGTGGAGCCTCCGACAGCTTGAGGGAGACCGCCGCCGTCAGCGTCCGCGGGTTTCACGGTAACGACCAGGTCCAGGCTGCTGTGTCCCACTTGGGCGCGAACGTTTCGTTTGCACAAGTCGCTGCCGACTTGGATTTCGACACGAATGTTGCACTCAAGCCGACGCACGCGGACGACGCAGACGCCGCCGACAAGAGTAGATTTTGGGCGGAGTTCGAGGAGGTGGCGGCAGCCCAGCTTCTGAGGATTCAAAACCGCAGAACAGAAGAAATCATGTCTGTGCATCCACTCTTCGACGGGGATACGATGGAGCAGTCTGCCCAGCGCGTCCGAGCTGACTTCCCCCCGTTCTTTCCGACGGAGCAGGTCATGGATTATTTGCAGAACATGTCGCTGACGCTGGACCCCGACATCTTCAACCAGCCCAGCTGCACAAGCCGTGTCGAGTTTGTTAACGGCCCGGTAGCTTTGGGAAGGATTATCGGTTGGGCGATTGCCGAGGTGTCGCCCGCCTGCTTCGCTTGCAAGTGGGCCGTCGGTCGCGCGCGACCCGAGGAGGTCGCTTACGGAGTCATCCAGGGCGAGCTTCCCGATGCCCCCATGCGGGTCAAGCAGATGATGGCCGACTTCGTGGCCGCCAAGCCTGTGAACAGCGCCGAAGACTTCACCGCGTACACCGAGGGCTGCCCTGTGCACCCGGCCTGGCCCGCCATGCACTCCGCCGCCTCCAGCTTGTCCTCGTGGTTGGACGTCGTTGCCATCCTCACCCCCGCGCAGCGCGAGGAGGTGCGGCTCCTGGACTTCTCTGTCGCGTTCTTCCGCACCTTCGCGGGCGTTCACTATGCGACGGATAACCGCGCTGGCTTGGCGCTTGGGCGGAAAATCGTGGAGTCGAAGTTGCCCGACTTCTTGGCCGAGACGTACGGCTGCGACGCGGCGTCCGCATCCGCGATCAGGGCGCGCGCCGCAGCCAAGATCCAGTCGTTCAATTCGGACACCCTGAGCGGGCACCCCTTCAGCTGGGCCACTTGGACACCCCAGAAGTGGATCAGCCCAACGCAGTTCTTTGACGCATCCGGCAGCGCCATCGGTGACCCACACATGCGGAACATGTTCGGTCAGAGCTTTGACATCGCGCGGACTGGCGAGCACGTGCTCATCAATATTCCACAAAAATGTGGCCCAGATGATATTCTTCTTCGCGTGGGTGCGGAGGTGCGAAGCGACCGACATGCACATTGCGCGACCGACATGTACATCAAGGCGCTCAACATCACTGGTGCGTGGGCCAATAAGCAGCAGACGAATGGCTTCAGGTACTTGGCGAGCCATCGTGATCAGCGCCAGCCATGGAGGTGGTTCGGCAAGGTTGAGCTGAAGGTGGCGTGGGGCCGCACGCGCGACGGGGAAGATTACCTTAATTTCTATGTCCGCCACTTGAGCACTGTTGGTCACGCGGTCGGGGGTATCCTCGGCATCGACGATCATTCAGAGGCATCATCCCCGGACGAGAGGTGCAAACGCTCCCTCACGCTCGCAGAATACGCGGATTGAGTCGGATGCTCGTGCTGCGCTTGCGAGCTAACACTAAGAGCTCGTGTAGACTCTGCATGCCTCATACATTGGTTGTATGCCTGTGTGGAGTAGTGTCGTATGAGGGCATGAGAGCCCCAAAGGGCCCCAACCGAGCCCCAATATGACCCCCAGGATCGCCCTCGAGACGACCCCAGAATGCAATTTCGCCTGAGACAGCCTCACCACATTGATATGTTCGTAACGTCGATCTTATATCAGACATAAGCGTTTCGCCAGAGACATCCCCCAACAAATGGGCAGCCGCGAACTTGACATATGTTCAGAAACTGGTGTATCGCCTGAGATATCCTCACACGAATGATATGTTGGAGAGGCGGTTTTATTACCTCTCATGTAAAAATTGCGCTGTCGCTGCAGATATCCTTAGAAAATCGGGCGGAGCACGGCAGACGAACAAAAAACACGGCAGATAATGAGTATTTCTGCCGTGCTCATTCGTTTTTGGGGTCTATCTGCCGTTCTCTTTAGCGCTTGGGGTATACTCTGCCGTCTGGTCTTCTTCTGCCGTACTCCTTCGCTATTCGGGCCTGTTCTGCCGTGCTCCTGGTCTTTTTCTGCCGTCCTCCTTAGCTCTTGGGGTCTACTCGGCCGTGCTCCTGGTCTTTTTTTACCGTTCTCCTTCGCTCTTCGGGCTTCTTCTGCCGTGCTCCTTAGCTCTTGGGGTCTATTCTGCCGTGCTCCTGGTCTTTTTCTGCCGTGCTTCTTTGCTTTTGGGGCCTCTGCTGCCGTGCTCCTCAGCTCTTGGGGTCTATTCTGCCGTGCCCCTGTTTTTTTCTGCCGTGCTCCTTCGCTCATGGGGCCTATTCTGCCGTGCTCGTCTTTTTCTGCCGTGCTCCTTCGCTCATGGGGCCTATTCTGCCGTGCTCCTGCTAGTTTTTCTGCCGTGCCCCTGAGCTCCTGGGGTCTATTCTGTCGTGCTCCTGGTCTTTTTCTGCCGTGCTTCTTCGCACTTGGGGCATCTTCTGCCGTGCTCCTTGTCTCTTGGGTTCTATTCTGCCGTGCTCCTCGTCTTTTTCTGGTGTGCTCCTTCGCTCTTCGGGTCTATTCTGCCGTGTCAGGTATTTTTCTGCCGGGACCCTGAGCTCTGGGGTGTCTATCCGGCCGCGCTCCTGGTTTTTTCTGCCGGCTCCTCGCTCTTGGGGTCA